TGAGTATAATAAGTAACCATTGGAGAGAGAATGCGACTCCTTATATACCTATATTATATATATATATATAGTTGAAAATTGGTTCGTTGCAATTTCTTTTTATTTTAATAACAAACTTGCTTTATTTCAAAATATAAGCTAATCATATATTTGCTTGGCATAGCTACAATTTTGTATTACTTAATTGTTTATCGTTGTAATTAAAAATTTTTAATTAGCAAAGCTATTTATTTTATGAGATATGTAAAAAAAATTGAATAATATTAATATTTTGTTGTTAACTATTTCAAACAAATTAAAACTGAACACAAGCCACATGAAAACAGATATGAAGGAAAAAACAAACATTATCTTATTATTGATAATAAGTTACTAGCAGTGCGTATGTTCATACTCTTAGCAAGACAAAATTTGACGTAATGCAATATGAACAATAAATACATCCACAAAAATAATATAAGACGCCAGTCTTACCATTTTCCCCTACAAGTACATAATATTTGTATCACAAGATAAAAATCACAGTAAGCTCCTATGCAGTGTGTCCTTATAAATAGTTTCAAGTTTTACATATAATATTTATTAGAAGATATTGTTCTGGGCAACTCATAAGAATTTTTTCTGTAATAAAATGTGTGGTGTCTACTTGAATTGTAGATATCCTCAATGCACAAAGATTGGATTTTCTGTCCGAGGGATATGTTTGGGGATTGGTCCTAAGCATCCCACTGATTATTGTGGGTCAGCAGGTACCCATGAAGATGTGTGAAACTTTTTGGTCTTTTAAAAGTGCTCCAGAATGTCACAATAATTCTAAAAGATTGAACACATCGGCATGTTGATAAAAAAATGTGCACCCTCTACACATACCACAGCTATCAGAAAATTCATAAAGGCATAGTAATCGCCCAAGATACATTCTTCAGTGCAATACCTTCTCTAATCATTATAGTGCAAAAGAACCAGGCGTGAATAAAGAAGAAATGCTATGATTAAAAGTAACCCTGCAAAATGCTAAAACTAAAGTGAGTTCAAAGAATAAGGTAAGGAAATCAATGAATAAAATGTCTTGTTAAATATTTATCTTTCCAAAAAAAAAAGAAAGGCCAACATGACGTTGTTCATTAAAAAAAGGCATATGTTTAACCGTGCTATGTTTGTGACTATTCATAAGTCATTAAATAGCATAGTCTTAATTGATAGTTATACTTTAATTATTCATTCAATGCAGAAATCCTTTCAAAGCAAGTTGATATTGTGTTTTTAAAATGGTTACATGAAAAAAAACCAAAAAATATTGCTAAAAGAGAAATTACGCCACAGGGCAACTATTAGCAAATATTGTCCAAGGCAAGAAAAAAACATCATTTGAATTGAAGTGTGAAACAGAAGAATTAATTGTCTCAAGTAAATAATTTTATAGTGAGTTATGATATAGATGAGATCAATATGAAGGATATAACCTAGATACAATAATAACAACTCCAATAAAACTTAATACCCTTCCCGATATCTAAGTATATATACCTAATAAAATATCGACACCAGTCACCAAATGCTCACCTGAAACCAACAAAACATACTTATTATAAAGAGGAAAAAGTTGGTATGATTTTTATACTATAGCATTTTAGATGTATCGATGCTCGTCAGTTTGTCTCGCTTTAAGTGATACATGAATCCAAGTAAAATAGCCTTTGGATGAGTATCCCAAATAATATAGGACAAGTTTTCATTATTTCTTAATGTCACAAATGCTGTAAAACCAAATAAGAAAATATTAAGAATGTTACAACCATAACAAAAAATGTAAAACCTCAAACACAAACCTTCCTTCTAAAATCTTTGAATCATTTTACAATCTGCCATAATTTGTTTTAATTTTTTCGACGTTCTTCTACATTCAAGCGCACAATATAGAATTGCAGCACTACTCCAATGTGTTCTTACTCCAATATAATTATGCAGTTTAAAAAGGCTAACCGCCAACTGCACAAGCCAAACGTCCAATCCACGCAATCATAGCTAAACACCTATCTAAAAGACCCATAAATCATTATTTTACACAGAAGTTAGAGGATTAGGGAAATTAATAAAGCAATAAGAATAGCAGCTTCTCTTAAAGATATCCAAGTGAGATAATACTTTGAACTTCAAGTCCAATTTGAGGTGCATGTTTTTTTGATAAAAAAATAAAATCTGCTCAGAATAGGTAATCAACGTAACCTCGCAAAAAGCAAAACTTTCAAAAAGGAAGTATCATATCATTCTTTGACCGTGATTATATAATGGATGATTAAAATACTGTAAATTTTATAATAATTCAAGGCTAAAATAGGTTGAGGAAAGAACCATTAAGTTTTCAAAGGACTTCTCGCGTTTGTAAACCAAATATGGTTAGCATTTTGATGGGTGAGATGTGCAACATTACTATAATGGGATATGAAAAAGTGTAAATTTTCAATCATTCCAAAAGGGTATTGTTTATACTATGATGCATTATAACATGCCACTGAGCTCGGTCTTAAATTATGTTCATTGTCTCGCAAGGCAGTATCTTATTAAATTTAATTAAGGTTAATAATTAAGAATTTACACCAATTAAAATGATGTTACTAAATGAACTGTAGATCTTGGATGACGGCATCAAAAAATTAGCTTGGATCGCGGCTCGAATCTCGAGAACAAGGCAAATAAGCCGTAGTTAAGAGATAATTATCAAAACATTCTAATTCTCGCAGAAGACACCAGAAACTTCCGATGAATATCAGCAGAAGCATATAAGTCAAAACGAGCGTTGCTACGAGAATACCAACTCCAAACGACACACAATATACGATTCCAATCCGAGTCCCACAATGGAAGTCCGAAATCAAGACCGCCGTACAAGCGCATGTTGGTAAGGTTCAAACCGCAATTTGGTTACCAAACGGTCTCCGATTTTAACCGAGCTTTACGTGAATTCGAGAACGGCTCGACGAGACGTAGGTCCAACGAGGAAGCCCAAGATCACAGAATTCCGACATCTTAGGCTGTCAAAATGTTTCCAACGAACTCAGTGCCAACGATCGGTTAGGAAATTCATATCGAAGACTCGGTCATTCTGACCACTCCCTTTCTGCCTATCATTCGCCTAATTACAGGGTCATGCCACTCCAGAAAATCTATAAATAGAGCCCTCATTTCTCTATGAGAAGGGGGGGTCCAAGCAAGAAGAGAAGGGACCAGACGAGGAGAAGGCTAGCCTCCTCGTCATCAGGAACCTCGACGGACCACCCTAGGAGAATCCTCGCGGATCTCACCCGGGAGCCTCGACCGGGCCACCACGGATTCTGCGCCCGGGACACCCTGGGAAACCGTTCGCCGGCCACCAACCGGCGGGACCCCTCGATCGGACCACCGCAGGAACCTCGGCGAAACCACCGCGAGGGAACCTCGGTATACGAGTTTCATCCTTACGTTTCTGTTGAAGACCGACATCCTGCTTTTAGGAACCCCGACGTTACAGTCCTCTATGTCCCGGCTTGAAGCCCAACATCCTGTTAAGGCCTAACGTTTCAGACCCGATCGATCCTACCAAGGCCAGACATCACACAAAGCCGATCTTCCAAAGTGACATTCTCACACACCTGACTCGCTTAGTGGGTGCTCTTTGCCGACTACTTCCATCGACGTATGTCAGACCCATCCACTAACGGTCCCGTCCGTTCTTCCTATCACATGACACGGTCTTCCAGACCCTGGTCTCCTACCAACTACGGACTTTCAGGGGCAATACGTCAAGTCTACTACGTCCGTTCGACCGTCTTATATAAAACAGTAAATAGTCGAATCTTCTCCTGACCGGCGGTCTCTGCTCTCTTAAATCGATCCTTTCTGACCAAACAAACATGATATTGTAATTCCACAATGTAATGGAATACTATAATGAGGTAGTGACCTTTGCTGAGCATACAAATCAAGGCCTCTCCAAGGATGATGCCTCATTTGTAAATTCAAAATCGGACTAACATTAAATATCTATATCCAAACTGGTATCTCTGGTTTTTCACCCCCTTTCTCATGTGAGTTTTCCCAACGTAAAATTCTATTGGTACTATTATGTGATATTGTTCACTTCCTTCTCTCTTATCTGTTTGTGTGCTGGATTCTTGTCGTACAATGCTAAGACGTTAAAACCTATATATTTTCTTTACTCGCCGAGCGAATCTCATGTCCAGGGACGCAACAACAATTCGCATTGTTGCAAACGCTACATGAATTTGGCACAAAGTACCGCACCAACAATAATACTATAGAATTTATGTGAAAACTTAAAAAATGGCGTAATCAGACCTTACCATCCAGTTAATGCTAATAATAGGCACAACGCACATTACACAAAGAAGACAAATTCATTTTATTTATTTAGCATGTAAAATGCACAATGATTAAGCAGTAAAGAAGTTTCATGCATATTTGTATGACTTGCTTGATATTCTTGCATAATAACAAGAATAACCATCTCTAGTCCTATAGAAAGAATAATACCAAGAGGGACAAATGAATGGAGTAGTTCCCACAATGCTACAAGTCTTAATATATGTGTAGAGCATGTGTGGCTGCTTTGAAATTTCTCTGGGCAAAGCATATGGACATCCGGGAAACAAATGATTAACGTCTATCTATTGCAACAAGCAACTCGAAATAATTCATGATATACAGCTGAGGCCTCTTCTGGAATAAAAATATATACAATCTAACCAAAGTCCTTGGACTATCATCAGAACCTGAAAGAAGGGAACA